TAACAAATCTTGCAGCAAGTACATATGTGGTGCATAATAAGATGAAGGTAAGTTTGTGTTAGGTCTAGAAAGCAAATGTGACCAACTGCAGCCATAATCTGTATGTACACGCCAATGTATAGCATTCACCTGTGTCAATAAAGAGATGCTGACTTTCCCTCCATGTGTCACTTCTTCATTACAAGACTGCTAGCAACTGAGTTGGGAACTATGTGTGTGTTCTGGAATTGCTGATGTGTGGTTGAATTGCTTGGCGTGCGTCTGGTCCTTAAGTTTGCACCATAGTAATGACGGTTGATACACTGGGAGCCATTTTAGCTGCTCTTTCTGTCAGGCTACTGGTGCAGGGGAGAAACATCTGACTTTGAATGTTGCTGGTTATGCAGTGTCAGGCACTGAGGGATGTTTTAAGCAAGCCATATTCAAGCGTATGTGAAGTTCTAGTAGATGGTGAATGGTTGCAGAATTGGACAGCCTGAGTGTTTCCTTTCTTTCCCTCTTAGGTAAGGCATGTTCTCCATATCTCTGCTGGCATGTGGAATGTCTTCCACCTTTTGTAAATCTGTGAAGCTCCAAGAGGGCTCAGGTGGACTTGGCAGTACTCAACAGCTGAGAAAAAGGCAGTATTTGCTGTGGAGGTGCTGGGGTACCTCTGGACCTTTGCAATTTAAGCAACAAGTGCCTCTGAAGAAATCGCTTCACGTGGGAGGGTTAGCTGTGCTCTGGAGTAGGCTGTCTAGAGAGGGTGGGCAGCTGTGAACTGTGTGTGTGTGTGTGTGTGTATGTACTTCCTGCCAGGGATGGCAGAGTACAGCTGAATGTGTATTCTGTGTGAAGCTCTAATAGGTAGTGCTACACCTGCTCAGCCATGGTGTTCCATTACTCTGCTTAAGCAGCTCTGTGTGCAGCCATATCAGATGTCAGCTTTCCTGGGTAGGCTTTCAAGTTCATGCTTTGCAAAGCCTGGTAGCCACTGGTCTGAGCCTGCAGTGTGAATTCTGTTTTCTCTAGGAAACTGCTTTTCTGTAGTTGCCTTCCTGCTTTTAGAAAAACACTAAGCACATCTTTGCAAGGGCAGCGTCATTTGCATGTCCTAAGCAAATTCCAGACACAATGGTCAGGAGGGAGCTGCTGCTATCCGGAAACATGGCAAGGGCAGGAAGGGCTGCCCAACCTCCCGGGGCTGGTGGGATCACTTTGTAAGGTCTGTGCCTGGCTTTCATCCTATGAAGAAAACCAGATAAAGGCAGGAAGGAAAAGCAAGAAGCAGCAGTGGTGTCAGGGACCAATTTGTCCAGGGATGTGGAAAACCTTAATACAGAATGTAAAACTTAAAGTTACTTGAAGGCCTGTAGCAAAGTATTTTCTACAGTAGTCTCTGAAACATTTAACATTTTAGGTTTGTTAGCTTTTTGAGTGCCCTTAGTGAGGCTGCTTGGCTTTACCTGGGATAAGCATGGACTGCCAATCGTGTGTGCTGAGGGTAGCAAAAGAAAATTCTGTGTTAAGTGTAACAGAAAAACTAGGTCGCTGAGATTGGAGAAGGTCACCTCAGCTCATCAGTGGTCCAGTGCTTGTGCATGAGGTGTCTGCGCTTTAAAAAGCTGTTCAAGCTCCAGATTACATGCAGGTTAAATGGGTTTTGAGTGTCAGCTGCGGTGGTGCTTCACCATTTTTGTTTCCAATGAATTTCCATTTTGTCTTCTCTGGAAAAGTTGAGGGAAACATTTCTCATTGAAAGGTTGGAAGGGTTTTGAGCAGTTCTGTGACTTAGTGTTAGAGGGTGAAAATCGGCTCACAAAATCTTTGAAATTCAAAGAGGCTGCACCTAACTGAATTTCTGTAATGTTGGGGTAACTGGGGAGATGACATGTGAGTGTTTACTAAGGTTATCTAACCTAAGTGCCAAGTGTTTGCTTTAGCTTCTGTGACTTAAACGCTGTGACCAGCTTGTTCATAACAAAACAAAAGCCTCTATGTAGGTGGGAGAGTGTTTTCTGCAACTATGCGTTTTACAAATGTTGAACAAAAGGGAAGGTAGCAGGGGTCAAAATCTCTTAAGTAGTTTGAGAGTGCAGAACAGGCTACTTTTCATTAACTGCACTAGTATAGAGCATTCAAAATGTTGGAAGTTTGATGGTACAGAGCAAACTTGCTTCTCTGGGAAAAATGGCCAAAAGCTCATATACTTGGAAGAAAATGAAATCATGGTATTTTCAAGAGCACCTGTTTTCACTTAAGGAAACCCACAGCGAGATTATCCAGCTGAGCTTCCTGCATCTGTTCATATATTATTCACAGAAATCATGAAGAAAAGTTGTAGTCAGCGCAGCAGTTTTTATTGTACACACATCATCAGGCCCTTTGAACAAAAATGCAAATGGCATAACATAAGATAGTTCCACCTCGTTAGAAACTAAAAAGGCCTGCTGTCTGCATGAAAACAATATTGTAACATTTTCAAATCTACTTATTAAAGCATCTTAGGAAAAGAGCAAGCAAACTAAGCAAAAGTAGCAAACTACTATACTAAATCTTAAGTGATTTACTATGCTTCATGTGCAGACTTGGTTTTTTGAAGTATAATATTTCTGCAGTGTAACTTTTAAAAGCAAATCATGATTTCTCCTTAACACATCACACACAACATATTGCACTATATAGCCTACTTCACAAGCATCAAAATAGCATGCCTTATTAAGCAAAGTTTTGATGGTACAAATAGATTTTCTTCTGACAGATGTATTTCCTCTTCTATCATTTTAATTAAGAGGTCTATAGAAGCAGTAAAAATACGAATGGGTTTAAAATTCACCAGCAGTGTTTCATATGGGTCTGACAGGCGGTCATTGTACTGTGATTTTTATTTTAGGTTTTTAAATAAAATATTTCATACTATTCCACTAGTGCAGAATTACAGAAGACTTTAAATATGGTATAAAAGCACCTCATGTATTCTAGCTTAGCACCAAATCAACAAGGTATTTAAACTAGTCATGCCCCTTGAAAATCACTTTGAGGTCTGGAGAGAAATTGAGGACCAAGTCTTCAATCACATGGGATATTACAAAATTATCACCATTTTTTGCCTACAAGCTGCTTTGGCTAGAGTTTTTGTTACACTGGAGGGGCATGGAAGCATACAGAAATGGACGGTAACCCACTTAAAATGCGAACACAAGCATCCCACTTTGTGCACAAAAGGCTGGACAACACTGTCAGAGCTGGAATATTTGGGGAAAGGAAATGGAAAAACAGTAGCTGGTGGTCACGATTTGTACAGTTGCATACAGTATGGTGACACAACTGCACAGCTGCCACATCTTTCACACTGGAGTGTTCCTTGGCCTGCAAAGCATTTTTTCATCTTGAAGCTGGTCAAAATGTAGTACACAGAGTACATTTACAAATAGTCAGAATGGCCTCATGAACAAGGGTTGTTGGTGTAGCACTGATGCGTCCTCTGTTGACTGTGGTTCTCGGATATTTTTGAGATTAACTCATTACCGAGCAGTGTGTCCTGCAAACATAATTACTTGTCTTTCCCATGATAAAAGAATTTAAATGGGATAATTCTTTCTAAAGGACTACTAAATAGTTCTTTAATACATCTCATGCTGTACTAAGTAAAAGTCACTTTCTATCAGTGTAATTTTATAACAAATGATTAAGGTTTCCATAGCCTTGGGAACAGAATCTATGAAATGAATTGACAAAGGGAATCAAGGTATGTTAAAGCTTGCCCCCCTTTTTTTATTTATTTTTTTAAGAAGTCTTTGAAAAGTACCTTTTTATGTTAAATATTGTTTGGAATGTAAAAGGATGCTTGGGACTGTGTAGCTTAAACTATTTTTTCTTATAGCATCATAAATTACAATGAGAAGGGTGAGTAATTGCTAGATGAAGGATACACAAGTATTTTCCAGATACTGATTTTGGGTAGCTCTGCCTTTCTGGTCAGGTCAGATTGAATTGGTATTCCACCTAACAAGATAGAATTCCTTGTTTTATATAACTTAAATTTAAGATTGTAGACCTTTTAAGACAGGTATTAGCTTAACATCTCTAGTACTTGCATTCTATATACTTACACTTAACTTCCTTGTAGGATCAGTAGAGGTTTCTGATGTCACTTTAGTGAAGCCCCCCCCCAGAACCAGTCATCTATGATCTTTTATTGATTTTTTTTTTTTTTTTTTGGGAATTGGATTGTTTGAGGGCTAGTGGCAAGTAAAAAAAACCTCAATGATCTCCAAAATGTTGCATGTATGTTATTATGTGCATGTGCTAAAAATGAGGAGGCGGCAGGGGCAGGGTCCCTCTGGATAAAACTCATCGTCTTTCTGAAATTCAAAGCAGGTAGTGTTTTTGATCTAGCTCATGCAACTGTGCAGGGTTTTTTGATGAGAAAGTAATTGCTTCCAGAGTCCTGTCCACTTTGCTTGGGAATGTGCTTTAGAAGCTAGGCTGTGAGAACTGTTTATGAGAATATCTGGGATTTGATTGTTTTCCTCTAACATTCGAATGCCTACACAGAATCATCGCCAGGAATTAACCTGTGAGTGATCTCATCAGCTGAATGAAACATGAGACAAAGTTAAAGGACTTGAATATAAGACATAGGAATAATAAATAGGGAAATTAATTTTGAGATCTGTAACTCCAGAAAAGCTTGGAGCGTGAATAACTGCTACAATAGTCATCTCTGAACAGTGAATCTTGTAGTGGACTCTCTTTAATGTTAACACTAAGGTAGAGTTCACTAGATTTCCTGGTAGATTTCCATTATCTACGTGGAAATTTGTTCATGCAGTATAAACTTCCTCAAAGGGATTTTGTCTGCATCGTAATCCCTAGCTGGAAAGGTTGTGTGTATACAGCTTGGATTTAACAGAAAGGAAGACACATGAATTGGGAAAATGTCTGTTCCCATGTGTTGTGGGACCCAGCTATGCACTGTCTGTGCTGTCTGAAGCTGCGCTACCTCGAAACGTATTGCCACATTTTGGTTAGGGACGTTCATAGTTTGGTCACGCTCTTTATCCAGGGCACAAAAGATGCGACTTTTGTGTAGACCCCCGGCGAGTCTTTCACTCCGCAGCCGTAGCCCCACGAGGTCACGCCGTACACGGCCCAGCTCTCGCCGGGGCGCTCGCACACGAGCGGCCCGCCGCTGTCCCCCTGGCAGCTGTCCACGCGCCTGCGCTCCCGGCGGCTCCCCGCGCAGAGCATCCTGCCCGTGAATCGTCTGCCGTAGCGCTCCTCGCACACCTTCTTGGGAAGCAGAGGGATGGCCGCTTGTTGCAGGGTTCTTGAATAGGCCCGCCCTGGAAAGAGCACCCCAGTGATTGTCTTGCGGTGCTTGGTCTCAGGAGCATGAATACAATTTCATCCAATTTATACTGTTAGCCTTCTTGCCATCTTATCATTAAATAAAACGACTTTAAAGAATACTAAAATAGCACTGAAAATCCACTGCACTAAAATAGTGCTAAATAGATTTTTTTTAAATATGAAATACAAATTGAATACTTTGAGAGCTTAACATTTAAATAAGATTTAGTTTTACACTTTACATATGCTGGACCTGTCCAAAGCTGGATTTTTTGTTTGTTTGTTTGATAAAAGACAAAAGTATGTTTTTTAAAAAATATGCTATAATACTTAAATGGTGTAGCTAGTCCTTGGAGATGTGAGGAGGGAAGACTAAAATTGTAAGATACTTCATTTCTAGGTCACCAGTTCAAGTCCCTCAGCTTCATCAATGGCAGGTGCTGCACCCTCCATCAGCTTTCCAGCTGGAGCACCATCATCATTAAATACTGTAAGTATATGCAAGCTGTTGGTCACCTTGGCTGCAGAGTTCATGCTGCCAAGCTTCAAGTATGTTTTGTTAGAGATGGATAATATTTTACAATCCTGATACTTCTATACACCAGAAAATAAATAAATGTAGCCACAAGAATGCATCACTCCAAAAATCTGTTTCTTCACCTAATCCATTTTTTTCTGGGAATAGATCCTGCCCTTGTATTTTTTT